GAACCATCTAAATAATGGACCACACCCACTGGGCTGAACTCTCTCTTGAGTTTCCACTCCAAAAAGTTGTTTAGTGTTCAAAAACAAAACATGATATGGAACACCCCATAGGTAATGACCTATCCATATAGTAACTGCCTTTGAAAGCAAAGCCCAGAAGGTCAAAATCATTGGGATGTACTGGGAGGAGCCTGAATGCTGACTTAATGTCGCATTTCCCTAGCTCTGCCCCATCCCACGCATATGCACCATGCGCACTGCCACATCAAATGATATGTAGCGTACAGTGCACAAGTCCTGGGGAATCTTATCGTTCACTGATTCCTCCTCTGGAAAGGACAAATGGTGAATCAATCTAAATTCACCAGGAGCCTTTTTTGGCACCACCCGTAGGGGGGATACCCGAAGGTGTGCAACAGGCGGGGCCTGAAAAGAGCCCAGCACCCTTCCTTCTACCATCTCTTTTTGAATTTTTGCCCTAACTATGTCCTCCTTCCCCCTAGATGACTTCAAATTATCTGATCAGTAGGCTACCCTAGTGGTAGGGACTGATTACCCTCTGGCAGAGCTGCCCTCACCACTGAATTATATCAGGGACTGCCATGGGCCCTCCTGCACTAATTGTCACCCACCACAGTTTGGGTGACTGCCCCTGGATTCTGGGCTGTGTCTTTTGTAGGCAAAAGTGAGGCCAAAGTGATTGGCACAACCTGGCTCCTGGTGCCCCATGGCCAAGCCCCTGCCAATTGTGTTGTGCCCAATATTCTCACCTGACTGTGTCCCTACAGAAGACCTTGATGGTACCTGAACCAGACTCTCTTCACTCTGCATGGGCTGGCCAACACTGTGTCTCCCATCTGCCTCCTCCTCTTGGGTCTGTGTGCCTGCAGATGATGACTATAGGGGGTCTGACTGCCGAGCTAATGGCGTAGACTCCTATGTTTGGAGTAACTGCAGCTGAAAAAGAACCTGAAGGACTGAAGTGTTCTCCCTCTAAAATAGCAATACAAGATAGCATAATGTCACCCATTCCCTTTAATTCTGCAATCTTTTGGGCCTTGTACTCTCTGCGTGACCTCCTCACTGCCAAAGAGCCCCCCCCCCGCTGTAGCTTGAGCCCTCTCCCTTTCCAGCTGACTAAGTTTCCAGCTGACTAAGTTTCTCCCACAAAGACCTAAAGTCTGGTAAGTCTTCATCATTTGAAGAAGAAATTACAGGTGGCGAGCGTGCAGTAAAGTTAGCATATATATAAATAAGTGAAGTATAAATAAATAAATAAATAGATAGATA